AGAATCATGAGGTCTTACGTTCAAATTATAACAAAGGCAATTATTTCTTGATATATGTCCACACCTGGTTGGTGTGAGTAAGTAGGTATCCCGTGGAATTAGCACTAGAGTAGTCAAGATTTTCACTATGAAGTGTGAAAATATGTAGTAGTAAACTCATGAAGAAGCCAAGGGGAGTCAATATATAGTATATACATTTTACTGTTTTTACCTAGCTACACAGTGTAAATTTCCGACAAAGGGGAAATTAGTGGAGTTGTGTGCAAGTTGGCTCGGATACTCACTCGATGACTGAAGAGGCCTCGGGTGGCACCGTGGCAAAAACTCTAAACTCTAAACTCTAAAGGTGCATTTAGTATGGATGGAGGAAGTGTTAGTGTTTGGGGTATAAAAGTATAGGTGACATATACTTATTTTTACATGTTATAGGATAGTATATGTAGATTGTGTTTCCAAGTACTAATTAAGCTTTGAAATTTTATAGAAGGAAAATGATCCCAATGGCATTGGTTCAATCACAAAGTAAGTACAACGTGATGTAAGGTAGGTACGTGTCATGGGTTCAATTCTGACTGATGAATTTAAGTAGAGAAAGGTAGAGAGACAGACGCATTACTCGTTGAGCTTCGAAGCTGAAAATAGCAGATTTCTCCATTATCTAATATGTGTGTTTGTGTAAAAGAATATGACTTCCGCCCATGTGTGACATAAGCTCTGTCCCCATTTCTCTGGGAATAGGAAAATATTAGTCCTACGAGATTTCACCGTAAGGAAACAATTGAAAACATTTTCCTAGAGGAAATGTTTTCTGTAATAGCCAAACACATTTACTACCCCATGGGGAGCGCCGAGTAGTTTACCAGACAAATTGAGTTGTGGGGACTATAACTTTCAACATCGGAAATTCTCTTCACCAACTAGGCTATGGAAGAGATTACTACAAATCTAGATGCAAGATTGTTTAGTCAATGGGTGTGAATGAATTATCACTACACTTGGAACTACTATGTGATAGTGGATATGAACTTAGTGTGTGCGTGTATTTTAAATTGGTCAATTAATGTATAGTTAGTTGAGGGTGGTGCGGCTACCACATGACATCTTACCTGGGGTTAGTGATAGTTTCACGGATTACTTTTAATGTAGTTTGATCTATATGTTCTGATGCTTTGGTTTTGCGAGTTTCAGAATGAACTGTCTTTGTTTCAATTTTACTTCCCTATGATTAATCCTCTTCTTTCGTCTTCAAATATTGATATATTAGGCATGTGTTGACTGTCCTATCATTACGTACTTTTTGTGTTAGAAGATTTAACATTCTTCACCTTTCTGGTTTGCCTCCTGAAATGCGGAAAATTGCTGGTAGATACTTGAACAGAACAGGCTGTGTTATCCTTATAGTTGGTAACAAACAGCATCTCTTGAGCCCACATGCAATATTGCGGAGGTGCTGATAAAGTTGCATTACTACTTGCGTGTATGATCATATTAATAAATCTGAACGTATAGTTGAAGAGAAGGAACACTTTTCTAAGCGAAGAACTTTTTATTTGAAGAGAACAACTTCTATGTGGAAGTCAATAGTCCAGAATGTACATAATAGTAAGTTCTTAAATGAAACTAGTAAACATCATCAGCAATTGAAGCAAAATATAGACTTCTAAATATCTTCGTTGTAATACGAACTTGTTGTTAATAGGTTACCTTGTTGCAATTGCTCACTTGCCCTCTTTTCGTATATTGTTTACATGACCTTTTTTTGTTCATGCGTCAAGCTGCAACAAGATTATTTGCTTGTTCAATTATGACAGTTTTCAAGTGATGCTTAATTTGCAGGTCAAATCAACACAAACTCTAGGATCCATTGTAGCCAAGGTTGGTATCTTTTGATCCGTTTCTGGTCTTTTTAGCTTCCGTCAGGTGATGAATATTCTTATAACCCAAAAATGTTTAATGTTACTCTGCTATGAACATTCCATGTCACTTGCAAGGTAATTATAATATCTAGTAGTTCGACTTCCATTTTCCGTGCCAGGGAAATTTGTTCTGTGTAAAAAGGGTCTTCATTTTCATTGCTTCTGCAGCTCAAGCGATGGGAACGGAAAAAGTGTAAGCCAAACAGCCTTCCTGTGCTACACAAAATGCACGTGAAACTCTGAGATACAGTAAAAGTCATATCTGGCCACGACAAAGGTAAGGTTGGAGAGATCACTGAGATTATCAAGCACAATAGCAAAGTTGTCATAAGAGAGATAAACTTGAAAACCAAGCATGTGAAGAGTAGGAGTGAGGATGAACCTGGCCAAATAGTCAAGGTTTTTTCGATTTCTTTCCTTCTAACTGTTTCCACATTGCCCCAAAGTTAATCTTAAGTCTCTTTTGTTATGGACTATATATGTTGCTCGGACTTCAAAAATGCTGACAGGTGCGTGTGAGATCCTCCAAAAGTATTGCATTTTTGGAGAGTCCGAGCAACATAGGTTATGGATAATGTAAATTAATCAGCCCTTGTGTGAAAGTAACTGTTTGGGTTGTGCTTTCAGATTGAAGCTCCTATTCACAGCTCGAACGTGATGCTTTGCTCGAAAGACCAGAAGGTAGCCAGTCGGGTGGGTCATAAGGCACTTGACAATGGTAAAAGGGTCAGGTACCTCATAAAAACGGGGGAAATTATCGATAGTGCAGAGAACTGGAAGAAAGCTGTCAAAGAGAAGGAGAAAACAACAGAAGCAGTTGCTGTTGCTACTTAGAAGGCTAGCTTGTGAGTTCTAGTTATTGTATTTTCTTTAACTCTCCATTAATTTGATAACAATTTTGTATTTATACCTATTATACAAGTTCCATACCTTTATGAAAAAAACCATTTTTCTTGAGCCGAGAGTCTATCGGAAACAGCCTTTCTATCCACAAAGGTAGGCGTAAGGTCTGTGTACATCCTACCTTCCCCAAAACCGCACTCATTCGACTACAATGAATATTTTTGTTTCAAAGAAAAGCTTGATAGACAGTTGACAGCGGCAAAGTTACGATTTTCACTAAAGAAATTTGAAAAATAAAGTAAACATACGAAGGAATTAATGGGGTTCAACATTTGTTATATGTCAATAAAAACAATTTTGACTCTGTAAGTACTTGTTGAAATGCAATATAAAGTAAAAACTGTGTAATAGATCCTTGTGAGCTAGTTCTTTCTCGTTTTGTTTTTTCTTATTATTGAAATGCAATTTAAAATGGTTAATTATCTATGAAATGAACGTCTAAGAATACACACAAAAAAAATTCCAATTTGTTTAGTCGAAAGTGTCTAATAGTAATATCTCATCATATATTCGATTAGAATATGTCATATTTCAAATATCTAAATAAATTTTACTAACAAACTTAAAGAGTTATCGATCTATTCAACCAATTTTTTTTATCTCAACCAATGCAACAAAAATGGACAACCCACCAAGGCGGTTAATACTACTTCTTCATTTCAAAACAAGTGTCGTTTTAACTTTTTCAACATCTAAAAAAAATAAATACAAAATATCATCATTTACTAAGTATCTAAGTTACTCCTATTAATCACTACTTAATTCTTTAATACAAGAGTATAATTAAAATTATCTTAAATTCCTAAAACGATTGATATTATAAAACATTTATTTTGAGAAGAAAAGAATTTCATTTTAATTAGTATTTAGTAACAATGGCAAACATATCGTAAATACAGTAAACTAATCAGGGTATATCCGTCCCTAAAAAACGCCGGACTCTTCATCCTCGATCCTTCTCATATCACCGTTAATTCCCATCTAATCCAACGGCTTAAAATCACGATCCGCGTGATTTACTCCTATTGGTCCAATTCAAAATTCCTCTTCTATATATAAACTTCACCAAAATCAACAAAATTCTCAGTTCAATCTTTGCTTTCAAAATTCGAAACTCAAAAAAATTCTCCATTAATGGCTGGTAGAGGCAAAACCCTAGGTTCAGGAACAGCAAAAAAGGCTACTTCTCGTAGTAGCAAAGCTGGTCTTCAGTTTCCTGTTGGTCGTATTGCTCGGTTTTTGAAAGCCGGGAAGTATGCTGAACGTGTCGGTGCTGGAGCTCCGGTTTATCTAGCTGCTGTTCTGGAGTACCTTGCTGCTGAGGTTAATTTCGTTGTTTGACTATTTAATTGTGTAGTTTTTGTGTGGATTGATTGTTAGGGTTTGGAATTGTTTTGGGGGTTGTTAGATCTAGTAATTTTAATTTCGGAATTTGCCTGTTTAAATTGATTGCTAGGGTTTGTAATTCGTTTGTTTTTTGGTAGATTTTTCGCTCTGATAGTTTTAATTTTGCTATTTGCCCATTTAATTGTTTAATTTTTGTGTAAATTGACTGCTAGGGTTTGAAATTCTTTCGTTTTAGGTTGAGTTTTAGCTATAGTAACTTTAATTTTGTTATTTGCCTTTTAAATGTTTAATTTTTGTATAAATCAATTGCTAGGGTTTGGAATTCTTATGTTTTAGGTAGATTTTCAGCTTTAATAATTTGGGAGTTGAGCTCAAATTAGCCTAATTTGAGCTCAAAAGAGCTCACTTTAAAGGAACAAATGGTTTCAGAAGCCAAAATATTAAGTGATTGGGGGTTCCAAATGTTTAATATTTGGTTAATTCGGATATTAATTTCCAATTTGTTGAACTTCAAAACAGAAATTGTTTCATCGGGTATGTAGTTGTTGTTGAGATTTCGTTGTATAAAAGATAATCTGTCACTTCATTGTTGCTGCTATACCTAAAAATGGTTAGCTCTGTTTGTCTAGAGCTTGCTATTGGTAGCAATTTGAAGCAAATTCACTGGTATTTGTATGGGGTCGATAGATAATTCAATATACCAATGAGTTTCTTTCTTCATTTTGCGTTTCTGATTTTCCAGTGTTTATTATTTGCAGGTTCTTGAGTTGGCTGGAAATGCAGCAAGGGACAACAAGAAGACTAGGATTGTGCCAAGGCATATTCAATTGGCAGTGAGGAACGATGAGGAACTAAGCAAACTTCTCGGAGATGTAACAATTGCCAATGGTGGTGTGATGCCCAACATTCACAACCTTTTGCTTCCAAAGAAAACTGGTGGTTCAAAGCCATCTGTTGATGAAGATTAAACAAATTCAAGACTTGGTTTTTCTTAGCTATAGCTCTGTTCTTCTTTTTTCTGGAATAGTATTAAGGATTTGCTAGTGTTTCCTTAGCTGTTTAGTAGATTTTGGGGGTTTTTGTGCATACAAATGATTTGAGCAATGAATGAAAACATCAATGTGTTAAGACTCAAATTTCTTATTTCTAATTGGCAAATGTGAACATATGCATCAAATTGTAATCGGGCTTCGTTTGAGTGTGTATCTTGACATGGTTAATGGTTCTTGTGTCGATGGAGATCTCTCATTATCTGGTGTTCACAAGAAAATTTGATTTGAAAGAATGAATGAAATAGAGCTTAGTTCTAGTGTGTATCTTTGACAAGTTTGATGGTTTTTGTGTTGATGGAGATATCTTGTTATTGCGATTTCATTATCCATCAAGTTTTTTGAAATCGTGTGTTAATCCTTGGAGTTTAAAGTCTCTTTGACTATGGAAAAAGGTTTAATATAAATAGTTTACCTCTTAAGGTTTTACTTAAATTCCATTTACAAAATACAAAAAAAATTGTAAAAAGGAAATTGAATATGTCCTCAAAAGTGAACTTACCTTTTAAGTATAAATAAAGTATTAGCTAGATGGAGATTTTTGTGGTGTTAAATGAATTTGTTGTAACATATTGAATAAAAATAACAAAAACATAATGTAGATAGGAATATAGTCTACGTGCATTAAAACATAATAATTATAAGGGAAAAGGGTCAAAAATACTCCTCAACTTTATTTTTTTGGTTGACTATACCCTTACCGTTAAAATGAAGTTATTTTTACCCTTGTCGTTACTAATCTCATCATTTAAGCCCCTCCATTGGATGGAAAGCCCCAAATTGACTTAAATTACCCGAATTATTTTAAATGACCCATTCTCATTTTAAACCCATGCCCGACCCCTTGACCCAAAAAACTTCCTTTATATTATCCTACTTAAATGAACTTGATTTTCAGTTGATCCCACACTCTTTTCCAATCAGAACTAGATTACTTTATCCCTAAAGAATGTCATTTTGAGAATGGGTTAGAAAAATTTGGTCATGAGATTAGAGGGGTTGGCCATGGTTTTTGGGGTTTTAAGTATGAACTCATTTAGTTTAGCGGGTCGGGTTATGATTAAAAGAGAAAATCGGGTTGATGTTCATAATCGTGTTCAACCCCCCATTATTGGACACATATCTTATCCTCATGATCATTTTCAATCCGTAGTTAGATATGTTAGACAAAGAGATGCCCCTAGGTACATTAGTTGGTAATTCCCTTCGTTCGGATACATTAAGATCAACACGGATGGAATTTTTATGCAAAACTCAGGGTTAGCAGGATACGGAGGCATTGTAAGAGACGATAAGGGTAGGTGGTTAGGAGGCTTCGTGAGGTGATTATGAGGCTTCGTGAGGTGATTAGGTGTGGTAACAACGTCATGCCTCACAGCGGAACTGTGGGCCATATATGGCGGGTTGATTGTGGCGAAGAACTTCAACTTGAAGAACGTCATCATCGAGACTGACTCTCATGAAGCATTGATGCTCATGAGTAAGGGAGGCGTTGTCGACAATCACCCCGATCGTTACGTGATAAAAGAGTGCCGATGTATTCTGTCTGAACTTGGGATCTCCATGATGCATACTCTAAGGGAAGGGAATAGTTGTGCGGATCACCTAGCAAAACTAGGAAGAATGCACTAGATGAAGACCTCGTAATACTACATCGTCCGCCACATTTCATGCACCAACTTCTTCTCGCGAACATGGCTCATGTTGCATACCCTAGGTACCGAAAACATGTAAGGTAGTTTAGTATATATAGAACAAAAGAAAAAATATGAAATTGTACGTAAACATTTGTTAATGTTACAAAGAATATAATAAAATATATTTTTGTTAATTCATTGTACGATTTATGTTATGTTTGGTTGTGTATACAAATGATGAGTAACCTAGGGAGTTTATCTGCTTGAAATACGATTTCAAGTAATTTAGAGAGTTTTGTGCTGGGGTGATAAGAGTGTAAGTTGTTTGGTCATAGATTACGTGAGTTGTCTCAATTTTAAATTTTGAAACTAAATCCATAGCTAGAATTGGTAAGCCTAAAATCTATATACATTCTACTGTCCCTAAATTAAACGACTATAAGATTAGACTTGATTTTTGTTGGATACACTAGTGTACTTGACGGTCTCATCAGATTATTAAATTAATGTAATGTTATAACATTATGTATAAAATTATATAAATGAAAAACTTTACGTAAAATAATAAGTGTGTTAACATAAAAATGGATGTATAAAATATTAAGAAAAGATTGAAATGATTTTTTTTATTTCAACGTTCAGGGGAGATAAAGTTGTGTTCATCTTTTTAAGCTCCAAATATCTAAATTATTGAATTTGGAAAAATTACAATACTTATAAAGTCATATTTATGATTTTATAAATGGCAATAGTGGAAATTATGATTTAAATTATGTCTTAATATATATGCATTGTCTCACAATTTTTAATACTTTCTCCATCTCTATTTACTTTTCAAAAATTTCCTAATTTAATTTCCCTTTTTACTTATTTTTTGACAAATCCTCGAATACGTGTACAACTTATGTGCTATCATTATACTCCCTCCGTCTCATTTTATGTGGCACCATTTCCTTTTTGGTCAGTCCCAAAAAGAATGTCACATTTCCTTATATGGTAAGTTTATAAAGGTACAATTCCTCTTTTATCCTTGTTGGTCCTACTTAATCTTCAAATAATACTTCAATACATTTATGAGGATAGAGAAAAAAGAGTTTACTTTTTAAAGGACAATTTGGTAAACATTTCAAAGTCTTCATTTATTTCTTAAACTCCGTGCCCGGTCAAATGTTGCCACATAAAATGGGACGGAGGGAGTAATAATTTCACGAATAAGGTTATAAAGACTATATCAATTTTGTGTCTTATTTGATCAATAAATTGAACATATTTTATTGTTTAGAAGCATAGAGTCGTCCTAGTTCTATTTTAGCAAAAGTAAATCCTAATTTCTAAGTATTCCTATTTCAGTTTGGATTTAGGATTAATTATTTTGTTTAATTTTAGTAACTTAAAATTACCAAAACAAAATCATATCTTACTTCTATTAGGATTAGGCTAAAAAACACATCTATAAATACGTTAATCTACCACTAGATTTTTAATATGCCAAAAAAAGACTTATTACTTCTAACTACTTTTTTTCTTTTCTCATACAAGTGATCTTATTATTAGCTTTTAAAAAAATGGCAATATATGTCCCTACTGCCAATAATTGGCACTATGTCCATTTTCCCGTTATTGGATACGTTACTGATGTTCGTAATCGTGTTCAACCCCCCATTATTGAATACGTATCTTATACTCATGATCATGTTCAATCTGTAGTTAGACATGTTAGACAAAGAGATGCGTCTAGGTACATTAATTGGTCATTCCCTCCGTCCGAATACATTAAGATCAACACAGATGGAACTTTTATGCAGAATTCAGGGTTAGCGAGATACAGGGGTATTGCAAGAGATGATAGGGGTAGGTGGTTAGGAGGATTCATGGGGCGATTAGGTGTGGTAACAACGTCATGCCTCACGGCGGAGCTGTGGGCCAGGCGGGCTGACCGTGGCGAAGAACTTCAACCTAAAGAACGTCATTATCGAGACGGACCACCATGAAGCATTGATGCTCATGAGTAAGGGAGGCCCCGTCGACAATCACCCCGATTGCGACGTGATAGAAGAGTGTCGACACCTCCTTTCTGAACTTGAGATCTCCATGATGAAATAGTTGTGCGGATCACCTGGCGAAATTGGGAAGAATGCAACTAGATGAAGACCTTGTAATACTACATCCACCACATTCCATGAACCAACTTCTTCTCGCGGACATGGCTCACGTTGCATACCCTAGGTACCGAAAACATGTACGGTAGTTTAATAAATGTAGTACAAAAGAAAAAATATGAAAATTTGTATGTAAACATTTGTAAATGTTTATAACAATATTATATTGAAATATATTTTTATTAATTAATCTCGGAAGTTGTTCTGAATATCATTTTGGTAATTTCTTAATCAGTGGACTATGACTGATATTTTCCGTGAATGTTTCTTATTTCAAATGTGAATGTAATACACTTTACAATATGATGCATAACAAAGGTACCATTTCAATTTGGGAACACCATAGATAATAGATAATAATTAATAGAGCTATTTTGTTCAATTACATTTTTTTAATGAAAGAAAATATCAACTAAACTTGAATCTCATTTTCATATCGTTGTTTTTAAGCAACTCTAACCACCTTTGCCGTCTCAAATTAAGATCATTTTGTTCAATTACGTCTTTTTTAAAAAGAAAAAATAATGAACTAAAGTTGAATCTCATTTTCATATAGTTGTTTTTAAGCAACTTCAACCACCTTTACTGTCTCAAATTGAGTTCATTTTGTTCAATTACATTTTTTTTTTCAAAAAAAGAAAAAATTATCAACTAAACTTGAATCTCATTTTCATATCGTCGTCTTTAAGCAACTCCAACCACCTTTGTTGTCTCAAATTGAGATCCCTCTATTTGCATAACTTTCTAAAACTGAATCTCAATTTCTTATATACCATACTTGAGCTCTAAAATGATATTTTTAGAAAACAAAGGAATGTTAAGGCTCCAAATGTAAAGTGCAAGAGAGATTCTCCAGACATACTCTCTCCGTTTCAATTAGTTTGTCTTACTTTTCTTATTAGTCAGTTTCAAAAAGTTAATTAATACTTTCAAATGACATGTTTAACACCACAAGATTAAAGATCGTTTTAGTATATTCTACTATCTTTAGTTTAAAACCACATATCATTGTAATCTTGAGGAAAAAATGAGTATGTAGGAGCAGGGGTAGACTCACTCTTAGCCAAGG